TGACAATTAATTAACCTTACAATAGCACAAACCCAAGAATTAACATACACATAATATCAGTATAAAGAAAATAAATTATAACATATATGATCTCATTACCTTACTGTTGAGGTGGTGGAGGCCTTCTCGCCGCCCACGCAATGATCTGTTCATTAATCAACGTCTGCAAGTCTGCTATCCGCTGATCACACTTGGCTAGACGTTCAGATATATACTGTTGAGTATAAAAATCTACTGGTGTATTAAGATAGTAATTTTTTTGTTGCTGCCAGAAGTGTAAATATGATAATAACTGTTCTAAGGCATTAACTAAGGGCATACACCATAAATACAAACGAGGATTTTTATTGAAGAAGTAAAACTATTTTACACAGAGGGGAGGTTGGAAGAAATATTAAGAGAAATTGAAAATAAAACTGACTCCGACTGACTCTATTACTCTACCTCAACAAGGGTGAGGACTGCCCTTTTATAATTCAAAAGAAGATAAGCAAATTATTACATGGAGAAAGGTTTTAATCTTCGAATGGACCGACAGATTCCACCTTATCATCTTATCTTCAGCTTTTGGACGGAGTGGGGTGCAGCATCTCCTTTTACTGTTGGTGATCTTTTGCTTTTCCAAAAGCTCTTTGTCTAGTTCTGTCGACGCTCTATTGCTCGGGCCCCTTGCCTTTATTGCTTTTGTCTTTGGCGACTTTTTCTGCAATAATGGCGGTGTGCGAATCCCAGAAATCTCCAAGATTGGGTTCAGCATCTTCGGATTGGGATTCTCCTGCCAACAAGTGTTCGGCTGGATCACTTTCAGGTTCGGATGGAGTCTGACTGTTTCCTCAAGGAAAAAGTTTCTCTCTAAATCTCTCTGTCTGTCTCCAACTTCTCTATTTTTTTCTCGGAACTAATTAGCTTAGGCAACTAATAGTTTAATTAGATTAAGTAGCCAATTTAACTAAGACAAGTCTTTCTTAGCATCCAAGAAAAAGATTTTAATACGTAATTGTAATTTAACGATATTTGTTTAACTTAAACACGATGTCCCTAATTGGTTCCTCGTTTGGTGGGATAAATTCGGGCTTTCCCTTGAAATTTTACTAGAATCAGTCCGAACAGCATTTAATGAATGGCATGTGGCTTATTCCCGTGCTTATTCATTTTTAAATAAAAACAGAGAACTCTCCATCAGTAAGTCTGTTGTCCATGGATATGGAAATGGGATTTCGCTTGTGACTACCAGAACAAAGTCCCCCGACTTAAAAGAATCTTTTTTGTTAAATGGTGGGATAAGATGGAGATAAAAGAACTCCTTCCGAAAATTCATCAGCATACCCAAGCCTGTTGGGAATCCGTTAAACAGCCAGCCTTGCCTGCCCCCTCTCCGACAGCAGTCACTAATCCGTTTGTTCAAATTCAGAAAGAATTAAAACAGAAATATCCCCATCTTTCTGGTAATGAATTAATTGTTAATAGTATGGATTATCTGAAAGACCAATTCCTTCAATCAGTCAGCCAGGATGATGACGTATCCATGCGGTCAAGAACCAGTCAGACTCCAACCGAACCTGAAAGTGATCCAGCCGAACACTTGTTGGCAGGAGAATCCCAATCCGAAGATGCTGAGCCCAATCTTGGAGATTTTTGGGATTCGCTGACCGCCATTATTGCAGAAAAAGTCGCCAAAGACAAAAGCAATAAAGGCAAGGGACCCGAGCAATAGAGCATCGGCAGAACCAGACAAAGAGCTTTCGGAAAAGCAAAAGATCACAAACAGTAAAAGGAGATGCTGCTCCCCACTCCGTCCAAAAGCTGAAGATAAGATGATAAGGTGGAATCTGTCGGTCCATTCGAAGATTAACACCTGTCTCCATGTAATAATTTGCTTATCTTCTTTTGTATTATAAAAGGGCAGTCCTCACCCTTGTTGAGGTAGAGTAATAGAGTCAGTCGGAGTCAGTTTTATTTTCAATTTCTCTTAATATTTCTTCCAACCTCCCCTCTGTGTAAAATAGTTTTACTTCTTCAATAAAAATCCTCGTTTGTATTTATGGTGTATGCCTCAGTTAATCCCTTAGAACAATTATTATCATATTTACACTTCTGGCAGCAACAGAAAAATTACTATCTTAATACACCAGTAGATTTTTATACTCAACAGTATATATTTGCCGACGCTCTATTTCTCGGGTCCCTTGCCTTTATCGCTTTTGTCTTTGGCGACTTTTTCTGCAATAATGGCGGTGAGCGAATCCCAAAAATCTCCAAGATTGGGTTCAACATCTTCGGATTGGGATTCTCCTGCCAACAAGTGTTCGGCTGCAATTATGGCATCTATAAGAAATTACATCAAATGTTGATGTATGCTACCGTTTGCCGACAGTATAGTAATCAGGACCAAGCCATTGCTAAATTCATTATTAATGGTTTTACCGGACAGCTTAAAGGATGGTGTGACAATTTCCTTATTCTCACCCAACAATTAGAAATCCTTAATTTAGTTAAAGTTGAAGTTGATCCAACTACCCATCAGCCTGTCCAACAACAGGATGCTGTTTACACACTCATCCAGACCATCATTCTTCATTTGGTTGGCACTTGTACTAGTTCTCAGGATCGTGGCCGAGAACTTCTCCAGAACCTTCGATGTCCTTCTCTTACTGTAACAACCCGACCCTCATATATGCTTGTGATATATGTCCGTCCTTTATTCTGTGTTGTTAAATGCCTAAACTGAAATTGTCCAAGGGAATAAGTTCAAGTAACTATGTTGTGATGCCTTATCAAATGAATTGTATCTGTTAAGAAAGAACTGTATCTGTTATTATTAGAACGATAAAGTAGGAATTACTAAAATGTACCGAGATTTGAAACAGAATTTTCGGTGGCCAAATATGAAAAAGGAGATCGCGGAATTTGTTTCTAAGTGTTTACAATGTCAACAAGTAAAGGCGGAACATCAAAGACCAGCAGGGTTATTACAACCCCTTCAAATCCCGGAATGGAAATGGGAGCATTTGACCATGGATTTCGTGGTGGGGTTACCGAGAACTCCTCGAGGTATGAATTCAATTTGGGTCATTGTGGACCGATTAACCAAGTCTGCTCACTTCTTGCCTGTGAAGACTCAATATAATGCGGATAAGCTGGCAATACTGTATATAAATGAAATTGGAAGGCTTCATGGTATCCCAGTGTCAATTGTGTCAGATAGGGACCCCAAATTTGTTTCAAGATTTTGGCAAAGTTTACAGAAGGCTATGGGTACCGAACTTGTGTTCAGCACCGCTTTTCACCCTCAAACTGACGGTCAATCCGAAAGAACCATACAAACTTTAGAAGATATGCTCCGACTGTGTGTATTGGATTTTCAAGAAAGCTGGGAAACCCATCTACCATTGATAGAGTTCGCCTACAATAACAGTTACCATTCGAGCATTGAGATGGCACCTTATGAAGCTCTGTATGGAAGACCATGTCGTTCCCCTGTATGTTGGGCTGAAGTCGGGGATAGGGCATTGTTGGGTCCTGAAATTGTGCAATTAACAACTGAAAAGATTGAAATTATTCGGGAGAGATTAAAAGTAGCACAAAGCAGGCAGAAGAGCTATGCAGATAACAGACGAAGGGATTTGGAGTTTGTAATGGGTAGTCATGTGTTCGTGAAAGTCACCCCGTTAAAGGGACATCCGAGATTTGGGAAAAAGGGTAAATTAACGCCCCGGTATGTTGGCCCTTTCCAAATTCTAGAAAGAGTGGGTTTGGTAGCTTACCGAGTGGCTCTTCCGCCAAGTATGAGTCAAATACATAATGTGTTCCATATTTCTATGCTTCGAGGATACCTATCAGATCCATCTCATGTCATAGACTATCACCAACTTGTGCTAGATGATAAGTTAAGCTATGAAGAAAGACCACTTCGAATTTTGGAGCGACAAGTAAAGCAATTGCGCAATCGGGAAATTCCAATGGTAAAGGTAGAGTGGCAAGAACACTATGGCACTGAAGCTACTTGGGAAAAAGAGGAGGATGTGCAGCAACAGTACCCATATCTGTTTCCGTTTTGAGGTAAAAGCAAGTTTGAGGCACCAAACTTTTTTAAGGGGGGGAGAGTGTAACAATCAGACCCTCATATATGCTTGTGATATATGTCCGTCCTTTATTCTGTGCTGTTAAATGCCTAAACTGAAATTGTCCAAGGGAATAAGTTCAAGTAACTATGTTGTGATGCCTTATGAAATGAATTGTATCTGTTAAGAAAGAACTGTATCTGTTATTACTAGAACGATAAAGTAGGAATTGAAGGCCTTAGCGGCTCAATAAGCCAAAATCGATCATATATTTAGAACCAACATAATTTTTAGGTAATATTAAGCACTTTTGTGAAATTTCAATTTTCGGATGTGTAAATGATTGATTTTCGTCTCATTCTCTCCATAAGGATATATATATATATATATATATATGTGACCTTAGCCATTTGACAAACCAAGGAACTCATAACATAACTTTAGATTTGAGAAGTGAAGGGATAGAGAAAGAAGTCCTCAAGAAGGTCAAGATTGGGCTTAAGGTATGTAAATGTTGTTTAATGTCCATCTATAACCCTTCTTGTCATAATTTATGTGAAGATGTTTCTATGCTCTTATTCCTAAGAGTTGGAATTGTGGTGTTGTAAGTTTGAGAAGTAAATGAATAAAATGACCCTACCATGCATGTTTTGATTCAATTTGAAGTCCCTAAGAGAAACCTCACTCTATGTCTTCAATTGACTTGATTGAGTTCAAGTATGTGATATAATTTTATGTTATGAATTGAGATGTAAGAACAAGTAGGAGTCTTGTGAATTGGAGTAAATTTAAATTGTGGATTTATGATTTGATTTGTTTTTACTCAAATGAAAGATGTAATTTGACCCTTGTTCACATGTATTTACATGCTTTGAGCTTATATATTGGTAATTTAAAGCTAGATTTTTGAGGCCCTAAACGTGTCTACTAGGGGAAGGAATGATGCAAAAATTTCGGACTTTTAGTGCAGAATCACCGCACGTGCGGGGCCCAGGGCCGCACGTGCGGGAACCTCAGCCGCACGTGCGGGAGTCACTGCCGCACGTGCGGGAAAATGGCAAAAGTCTGGCCTTCAACACTGCAAAAAAAGCACGTGCGGGGCCTCAATGCCGCACGTGCGGGAGGTGTGCCACACGTGCCGGGAGATCCTAGCCGCACGTACGGCTCAAGGCAGAAAAGTTGGGATGCTCCGTTTTGCGTGTTGGGTCCTCTAATGTTGTCAAAACCTGCAATTTATATTGTTTGAATGTTCGTTAATTTAATCAATGTAAGTGAACCGAACATTGATTTAACAAGGATGGAAAAGGACTAATGTGATTTTTCATGTGTGTAGGAAACACCTCAAAAGGAAGTGCACCGCCACAACACAGTGAGTAATAGCACTTCAATGTATCCCTACTCAGCATGTATTATTCATGACGTTGTGACCTTGTAGAAAGTATTATCGTGTTATATTGATGTTATATCTTGACGTTGCGAATTTCACTATTAAACTTGTGTTGGCATGAAATGATTAATATGAAATGATGTATTCGCCATAAGTGATTTGATACGAAATGGTGAAAACATTGAAAAAGGTTGTGAAGTGGTACACATCTTATTTGAAAACTTATGACTAATGGAATGTAATAAGGCAAGTATGAATTTGTGAATCAATGTGGCTTAGTGCCATTTGTGAATCAATGTGGCTTGGTGCCATTTGTGAATCAATGTGGCTTAGTGCCATTTGTGAATCAATGCGGCTTAGAGCCATTTGTGAGCTAATGTGGCTAAGAGCCCTAATGTGAAACTACGCGACCAAGAGTCATTTGTGAATTGTGAACCAATGTGGCCACGGGCCGTTTGTGAATGATGAATTTATGAGGTCAAGGACCGATGTGTGAAATATGAACTTACACTGTTGTAAGCTTGTGAAACAAAAAGAACCGAAGATCTATGTGATGAATTGTAATTACAAACCCAAGGACTCTTTTCTGAATATGTGAAGTTCTTAGGCCAGGGGTCATACTATGACAATTATAAACCGATTATGTTGTCCCAACAAGCTGTACAGAGACAGACCAATTACATGATTTCAGCATTCTATATGTTTACAAGCATACTAGTACTATTGTTCACTGAGCTTGGCTCACCCTATGTTATGTCTGTTTCTATAGGTAATCAACCAGGAGGTCGATCTTAGCTCGGCATCGTCATACTTTTGTCAGCCTAGGCACAGCCAAGCTTGGGGTCGAACCCTACTTTAGTGGAAGTTGTTAGATGATGACTCACACTTTTGCTATTAACTTAAGTTGTTATGTACTTAATGGTTTTGTTATATACCCCACCTCGGGGTTGGTTTTGTATATGCTTGTAAATAACTAACTCTTAATTATATTGTGGCTTCTAATGTACTTGTCCTGTGGAATGTTTTTGGTCCTAGCATGATTTAGTAGCTCAATGGATGTCACATTTTCTGGCTTTATCAATTATGTTTTATAGCTTCCGGGCAGGCCCCCTATGGAACCAGGTTAAGCATCCTTTTCTGTTTAACTCATGCCCAAACTTTTAGGGGCAAGTTTGGGGCGTGACACTTACCCATTTCCGTTGGTATAAGGATGTTTTCCTCATCAAGGTTATGAAACGCCCTGATGGTAACAGTACCCATTGGAAAGCCAAGTTTATTGATGGCCTTCCTACCCTTTTTGCCGAACGCGTTAGGAAAAAACTTCGGGACTGCCATGACCGGATGTCTATTCCTTACGAGCAGTATACTTATGGACAACTTTGCTCCATAATTACCGTTGAAGGTCTTTCCCTGTGTAATGACCTTAAACTGCATCATCAAATGAAACAACAGAATCTTACTAGAAGAAAAGAATTAGGTGAATTTTGTGAACAATTTGCCTATGAACCCGTTATCAAGTATCCAGGCAAAACTCGTAAGATTTCCAATAAGAAATCCTCCAAACCCTTCTGGAAAAAGTCCCACAAGACTAGCCATCCGACAACCACTAAGAAGTTTTATCCAAAAAAATCAACTAGTAAGAATAAAGGTAAAAATAAATCAGAACTAAAATGCTACAAGTGTGGCCAAACTGGGCACTATGCAAACCGTTGTAAATCAAAAGCCAAATCTAAGATTAATGAATTAAATCTTGATTTAGGCATTAAAGAACAGATAATTCAAGCTCTTGAAGCTGAAGAAAATTCCACTGACGAAGAAACCCCTTCTGCAGATGAAATTAATCAGTTATATTCCACTTCCACTAGTGAAGATGAACTAGAAGAATCTTGCCCTTGTACTAACCAGGAACATATATAAGAAATTAATTATTGGAAATCAAAAGTAGAACTGAATGGTTTACATTTAGGTGAACCCAGCAGTATTAATGCTCTAACCGATACACAAAAGGATATGATTGCAGTTGCAGATCAAATCCAAGTGTAGACGCGCCCGCGTGGGGGACCTCGCTACAGTTCGGACTCGATTTGTGTCACGGTTCTTAATCTTGAACCAAAGAGTCCAAATCTGGCAAATCGTTTTGAGAAACAGATTTTTGAAAAAGTAGTGCCAAACATGGACTGCTTTGCCAGATACAGAGTCGCCACCTAAATATTTTTAAAATGGGGAAATTTAGGAAACCCTGACTCAGTGCCGAAGGCCACTT